TGTTTTGCAAATTTTATTTCCGCATTGAGGACCATCAAAGCCAGCTGGACACGAGCAAGTATTTGGATTGGTGCATTGTCCACCGTTCAAACAGGGTGAGCTACAGATAGCTAAACATGAAAAATATTATTGAAACTAAAAGTGTGGACGAACTAATCGCTCAATATTCATTGAAGTGAAATCTTACGTTTGCAAGTGAGAGTGTCAGCATTCTGAGTTGGCTGTGCTGCACTATACCAATTGCGTTGGATGCAAGTTAATTCCATTTTTGTTGTTCCATCCGGCAACGCAAAGCCTGTGTCACAAGTGACTGTACATTTGTCCAAATTACAGTCCGACGCAACCGCATTTTGTAGATCTGGCTTCGTTGGACAGCCTTTTTTATATTCGCACTGATTGCCTTCGTACTTTCTTGGACATAAACATTTATTTGGCTCAATACACTGTCCACCATTTAGACACGATGGAGTGCACACAGCTGGAAATATACGATTTTTTCACTTCATTTATTTTTCTGCCAATCTTGAAATAATTGAATTGCTTGAAATGAAAATATCCTACGTTGGCAATATGGTTGAAAGCTTTGGCTAGGTGTTACTGGTTTCCAGATATGCTGTTCGCAAGTCATCTTCATTGATGTTGTGCCGTCCGGAAAGGCATGGCCACTGGCACAAGTGATGTCACACTGCTTCGTATCACAATTTAATGTTGTATTCTGTGATGCTGGTTTGGTTTGGCAGTCTTTTTCAGATTCACAGTGATCGCCTTCGTAGCCACTAGGGCATGTGCACTTATTTGGTCCAGTACAGTTTCCTCCGTTTATACATGGGCTAAAGCAGTGGGCTATAAATACAATGGAAAACAATTTTTCATAACATTTATTCATGATCAACCGAGCTTTTGATATTGAATCTTACGGGTGCAATTGAGAGGAAGATTTTGATTCGATTTTGACTGCCAAACACGTTGTACGCAAATCAATTCCATATCAGTCGAACTATCTGGAAACGCGTATCCAGCCTCACAATAAGCATTACATGTGTCTGAATTGCAGTTTGATGTTTTTGCATTTTGGATGGCTGGCTTCGTTTTACAGCCTCTTTCATGTTCACAATAGTTGCCTTCATAATCTTTCGGGCATGAACATTTGTCTGGTTGATCACATACACCGCCATTTTGACAAGGTTGATTACAAACAGCTGTGGATTCGATCAAATATTATTAGATTTGAACGATACATTAGGTACTGAAAAATACTCACGTTGGCAATCCGATGATACAGCTTGACTCTTCTGAATTGACACAAATCCACCATTTTTACATTTCAAATTCATCAACGTAGAACCATCCGCAAATTTGTAGCCCGGTTTGCAAGTAATTTGGCAATTGGTTGGAGTACAACTCTGGTCCGAATTAAGAATATTTGGCACGGTGTTGCATTTGTCTTCGTCACAGCGAGGCCCGGCAAAATTCTTATCGCATACACAAATATTCGGCGCAACACACTTTCCGTTAATACAGGATGCACAAGTAGCTACCGATATTTTATGTAATTTTAATCAATAACATGAATGTGTGATTGACGTTATTCTTTGAAAAAATAATTCTCTTACGATCACACTCGAACTGTGCAATATCTCCAAGTCCTTTCAAAGACCAAATGCCAGCATTACAGAACAATTCCACCTTAGATTGGCCATTCGAAAATTGATAATTGCTATCACATTCTGTATAACAAGTTTTTGAATCTGGACAAGATGACCGTGCAAACTGTTTCAGTGGAAGTCCACCGCATTTATCAATGTGGACTTTTGAATTAAAAAAAAAGAAGATTAGTTATAACTCGGAAAATGTTGAAATATTAAATTGAAAAATCAATTTTCATTCGTTTCTGCTTTGGTATTACCATTTTGATTTGCAGTACTGCAACTGGCATGTATACCGAATATAAGCACAATGAATTTTAAAAACATTTTTATTTCACTGAAGATAGAACAACTTGATATATTCAGTAGAATACTTGAACTGTCCCTACACAGACTGGGTATCTGCTTTTATAGCCGAAAAGTGCAAAAACGAAATATTGATAAAAACGCAATGACGTGCGAGTGTACCAAATGATAAGCGGGAAACTCACTCCTTCCTAGTAAATTATTAAGATGTTATTATTAAAGGAATTATTCCAAGAATATATAACAACACAATATAATGATGCTATATGATTTTCGTGAAAAAAGATATTTGTTCGTTACTTTCCGCGAAGTACGTGCTACGTAATTATTGCATTTACGCACAATGCAACTTGATAATCTGAAACAAAATTCCACGTACACGATTATTTCACAAGTTTCTGAGATCATTTTTCAATGAAATGATGTTTTATTTTTCTTTTCCTCGTGGTTTGATTTAAAAGTATTTCCATTTTTCATTTTTCACTGGAATTTCACTGCCCACGATCCATATTTATGGATGAAATGTAATTCGATTTTGACGTCAGTTTAGTTCCAAAGAAAAAGAATAATTCGGACATATAATTCATCATAGAACATTTTTCCCAGAATAAAAACAGTTTTCTCATTCTGATGAATAACTTAGCCTGTTATTTGACAGAAATTCCATTCCTATCAATTCGTCTTGAATTTGAAGTTATTTTGTTTGTATTCTCTCTCAATGCAACTGAAGCAACTACACATAACAATTTGAAATGCATAAAAAGGGTACAGCGACCATTCCACACGAAATCGACAATCTCCGAATGGTTGAAAATTTGAATGGAATTTTGTTTTGGTGGGAAAACGAGAAAACCAAGGGCTGTAAGTTGCCTATATTTTCAAATATTCGTAGTGTAACTTTTTCGAAATATTTAAAAAATCGAACAAATGTACATTAAGTCGTAGTGTATTCATTGTGAAATAAAGAGAATACATGAAGTACATTTACATATATCAAACGGTTCAGTTTCTTCCTCATAGAAGGAGGTCATAAGAAGAATTTAGATGCTATACGGTCTAAACTTGTTCATTGTGAGAGTTCGTATTGAAATGTTATAACTGGAGTGAAGGTTTATGAAAATTTGGTTTTTATAAACGATGGTCCAAAAACAACACTTCTGCAAATGCGATCCGCGCGGAAATTCAGCTTTGCTTTTAATTTGTGTGTACTTGAAACTAAAACCTCTTTCGGTCGGTCAATTGCAAGAGAAATTAGTAAGCAAATAGTTTTATTCACCTGTTCCACGGACAGTCGGATACACGATATTTGTAAGTAATAAAATGTTTTTAACATCAGTGTTATGAATTCTAAGACAGAAAGTTTTAACTAAAAATGGGGTTATTTCTGTTAAAAAAAGCAATACATTGTAAGATTTTACATTTTACATTTTGTGCGACTACGTCATTACATTGCGATTACATTGACATTGCTATATTTTCTTTTTGTATGATTTTGCAACTTAATTTTGAATATTCGGTGACGCAAACTTCGGAAAAAGTCAATAAAATAACCAGTCTAGAATGCGCGGACATCGATTTGATTGAATACAAATTCCATTATGTTTAACCATTTCATTGGGACAGAAACAGCCTGGAACACATACAGATCTATCTTCGTAAGCAGATGCACAAGTTCGTTCAACTCTTGGGCCACAATTGTCGTTTTGGAAAATGATTATGTTATTGTTAGGAAAAATTCTCGATAAATGAAACGACAGAATGATGTCATACATGATTTTTCGTGAGAAAAAAACTATTTTTTCCTATTTCTCTGTGTTTTCCGTAAATGTGCTTACGTTCAGTGCAACTTGATGAGTTGACTGCAATTCCGTGTATAAGTTATCAGTTCACATGAAGACGATTACTTCATGCGGTCCTAGAGCATTCTTATTCAATGCATTATTTTTCGCTTTCTTATGAACTTGAAAACATTTCATTCTTCATCTTTACCGCGAATTTGATTGTGAAGTCATGATCTAAATCCAAGGATAAGATGAAATTCGATACTGAATTCTGTTTCCCAATTATTATGCCTTAACTGGCCAAATTCATAACTTTAGTTAGAATGCACAATAAACAATTCGATCGTATGCATTTCGCTTATTTGTTTTAAGATTGAAATTGTGTCCGATGGAATGACCAAATGAATCATGATTAACATAATGAAGAATCTCAATTGTGAAGTCAAGAGTTGTCTTATGTCAATGCAACAGCATCGGCTCTTGGAAATGTTGGCAAGAGGTTAGGAACCGCTGCAGGAGGAGCGGTTGCACTAGCCGTTGGTATACCCGTATTAACTACAGCAGTAACGCTTGCAGTGAGTAAAAGAATTCATGATCGAGTGGCACAAAGGCAGAAAAGTAATAATCAAACGAACTAAACTGATGGAATTGTACCCAACTCTTTTGATTGTTCTGACAAGCATAATAATAATCTGCGAAGAAAACGTATGTAGCTCATGTGTATCTATTTAATAAATATCTGAGGAGTTTTGTCTCTGTTGTTATTTGATTCTTTATTAATTCACTGTCAGATGTAAGCGAAATGAAACACACCAGTTAAAAAAACTATACAGTAGATACATTTAAATTAAAATGAATGAAAGAAATGAATGGCACAAATTCTTATGGGCATATTTTTTGTCTCGTTGCCCTGACCTTCACCGGTGGTGAATCATTTCAAGCACACTTTGATATTGAATTTTTTTTTCAAGTCGATTAGTTCCTCTAGATGTTTCATTCACTGCCCATTTAATATTCTGATCGTCCGCAAGCCATCTGTCCATTCCTACATTTACATGCGATAAACTCTGAACCGAATCCAGCTAGTTGATATGATGATTAAAATAAGTGAATATTAATATCATTTTCCAATCGACCATTTTATTAATTTTTGGACTTACTTGGAAATATCGGTTCACTTCCAGCTGGCCATAGCTCACCGTCATAAAAGCACGGACATTCATTTAATGGAATACAAATTCCATCATGCTTAACCATTTCCTTTGGACAGAAACACCCTGCAATGCATTCGGATCTATCCTCATGAGTGGATGCACAAGTTCGCTCTGTTCTTGGGCCGCAATTATTGAAAACGGTACCAATATTTTTATTACATTTTGCTGTAAACGAAATCATACACGAATTATATAGAAAACTATTGCTAATACATTGAAAGGAACGTGAGTAAAGAAAACAGAAGATACATTGAGTTAAAATTGATTGAAAATGACACTCACCTTTGCAATCAGGATTAAAGTTTTGATTTCGGAAATCTGGAACCCATCCGCCATTTGTGCAGTTAATCTCCATGATTTCCGACCCATCCAGGAAATCATACCCTGCATTGCAAGTAATCCTACAATGGTCTGCCGTACAACTGCTCACAGCATTCTGTGAAGATGGAGATTCCATACAAATTTTACGTTCGCATTGATGACCACCAAATCCAGCCAGACAGGAACATGTGTTTGGTCCGGCACATTTTCCGCCATTTAAACAAGGCAATTCACAGACAGCTAAAAAATAGAATAATTTCGATTTGTTTAAATTAAAATGTGGGCGAATTATTGCAAAATTCATTACTATAAAAGTAGTCACTAGATTATCAAAATCAAAACTCACGCGTGCAAATGGGAGAAAATTCTTGGGTGGATTTTACTGGTTGCCAGACGTGCTGTATACAAGTCAATTCCATGGCTTTTGTTCCATCCGGTAGGGCATAGCCGGTATCGCACGTGATTGTACATTTGTCGGAATTACAGATCGCTAATGCATTTTGTGTAAGTGGATTCGTTCTGCAGCCTTTTGGAAATTCACACCGATCGCCTTCTTTATTTTTTGCGCATACACAAGTATTCGGCCAAGTGCACTGCCCAGTTTCACATGGTGGGGTACAAACAGCTGGAAAAATACCAATTATTTTCATTTCATATTTTCTGCATTGAAGTATTAAATGATTATGATTGAGAAAAAAGTATGGATGAACAAAAGTTAGACCAATAATAGTGATTAATTAAATTAAGATTTCAATGCAGAAAAGTTCATCTTACGTTGGCACTTCAATGAAAAACCATCACTGATTGACTTCCAGTTGAGCTGTTCATACGTTATCTTCATTGATGTGTTTCCATTGGGAAAAGCAAATCCGCTGGCACAAGCAATTTCACACGGCATCGTATCACAATTCAATGTCGGATTCTTTAATGTTGGATCCTTTAAAATTGGTTTGATTTGGTGGTCTTTTTCAATCTCACAAAAATAACCGTCGAAATTTTCCGGACAAGAACATGTATTGGGCTTGATACATGTGCCATTGTTGTTACATTTTGGCTTACAAGCAGCTGTGGAAGCAATACACCCATTTTAATTTAACTTTTGTTCTAACAAACTTAGATCCTCAGTGAAAATGTTAAAAAGAATTCGAAATAAAATGATCGGAAGTCTTACGATAACAATTTGGAGAAATTTTTTCTTCCAATTTTGGTGGTATCCATGTCCGCTCATCACAAATCATTTTCATTTCTGTCGATCCATCTTGGAATTCATATCCCCTTTCACAAGTGAGCGTACAAGTTTCCATGTCACTGCACTCCAATTTTGAATTATTTGAAGACGGTGGTTCAGTGCAAACTTGCAAAAATTCATTTTGGCACGCAGGTCCACATACGGCTGTAGACATAGTTTTTTTTAATATTTCAAAATAAACCAATAGGTTTTTGATCAAATTTGATCATTTAAATCGTATCTTACGTTTGCAAATCGGATCGAAGTTCTGCTTTGAATTTGTGGGCTTCCATTGCCGTTCTTCACATATCAAATCCATCTCCGTCGAATTATCTGCGAGCGCATATCCTTTTTCGCAAGTAACTTTGCAATCTTCTATATCACACTTTACGTTTGCATTTTGCGTTCTCGGCGGGGTTTCACATCCCTTTTTATGTTGACAAAGATTACCCTCGAACCTCGGTGGACACGAGCAAGTGTCGGGTTTAATGCAGACTCCGTCATTTCGGCAGGAATATCTACAAACAGCTACAAGATTGTTAAATTTTATTGAAGGTTCTGTTATAGTAGATTCTGGTGAAAATTTTAATATTGAAAATTCATTTAAAACACTTACGTTGGCAAGATGGTATCGTTTGATTCGTATGAATCGATTCGAATAAATCGCTTTCACATTTCAATTCTAACTTATATGTTCCATCAGAAAATCTATAACCATCATGACATATAATTGTGCAATTGGTTGGGTTACAGCTCGAATCCGAATTAAGAATATTTGGTACGTAGCCGCATTTACTATCGCAGCCCAATTCACAAAAATCACCTTCGCATTTCATTGGGCATGTACAAGTGTTCGGTTTACTGCATTCTTGGCCATTCGGGCATGGTCGGTCACAAATGGCTGTGAATATAGAACAGTTTTAAAATTGAAAATTTCAACAAAATACTGGACATTTGTCGGAAATTAAACCCGAAACGCATTCCATTATGAACAAAATCATGCAGTATTATTCGACACGATAAAACTATTGCAAATTGAAGAGGAAAAAAAACATGAAGTTGTTCAAAATTGTTGACACTCACGTCGGCATTCTAAAGGACTAAAGTTTTGACGTGGTGATTTTGGTATCCATTTCTCATTTTTGCAGATCATATCTATTTTCACACTTTTATCTGGGTATTTATATCCTTCAACACAGAACATTATACATTCGTAGTTATGACACCCGTACCTAGCGTTTTTTACTGATGGAAAGCCCTTACACCATTTATTTTGGCATTGATGACCTTTAAAGCCAGAAGGACAGGAACAATAGTTGGGGTAGTTGCATTTTCCACCATTCTGGCATGGTGGGTCACATACGGCTATAAATATGAAAATTAAATTCCAAATAATTCATTGATGAAATTAAAATATTCAAATCGAGTCTTACGTTTGCAAATCGGGAAGAAATTTTGCTTCAAATTCATTGACTTCCAATGGCCTTGATCGCATATCAAATCCATTTCCGTTGAATTATCTGGGAGTGCATATCCACTAGCGCAAGTGACTTTGCAATCGTCAAAAGTACACTTCGCGTTGGCATTCTGCGTCGTTGGACTGGTTTTACATCCCTTCGCATCTTGACAAAGTTTTCCCTCGAACCTCGGTGGACACATGCAAGTGTTGGGCTTGGTGCAGACTCCACCATTCTGGCATGGTTGGCTACAAACGGCTGTGGAAGAATTTCCAAATAAATTATCGTTCGAGCACAATGGATTTGAATCGAGTCTTACGGTTGCAAATTGGATCGAAGCTCTGCTTCGGTTTCGTTAGCTCCCACTTCTGATGTTTGCATTTCAGTTCCATTTCCGTTGATTTGTCTGGGAGTGCATATCCACTGTCGCAAGTCACTTTGCAATCGTCCAAAGTGCATTTCGCGTTGGCATTCTTCGTCGTTGGACTGGTTTTACATCCCATCTCATCTTGACAAAGTTTTCCCTCAAATCTCGGTGGACACGTGCAAGTGTTGGGCTTGGTGCAGACTCCGCCATTATGACATGGTTGGCTACACACGGCTGTGAAAGAATTTCCAAATAAATTATCGTTCAAGCACAGTGGATTTGAATCGAGTCTTACGGTTGCAAATTGGGACGAAATTCTGCTTTGAATTCACCGGCATCCATCCGAATTCCGTTATTCCGTCTGACACATCCACTAGCTTCTCGCATTTCATATGCATTTCCGTGGAGTGATCTGGAAGTACATGTCCTTTATCGCAGGTGATTTTGCAATTGTCCACATTACATTTTGAGTTCGCGTTTTGTGTTATTGGATTGGTTCTACATCCCTTTTTAAATTCGCAATGATCGCCTTCGTAATCTTTGGGGCAGATACAAGTGTTGTTCTTGAGACACTCTCCGCCATTCTGACACGGTGGACTGCACTTGCCTATTAAATAAAATGTTGATTTTTAAAATGTAAAATAAACCAGACATTGTCCATTTAAATTGAATCTTACGTGTGCAGAACGGGTCGAAGTTCTGTTTGGAATATTTTGCCTTCCATTGGCCTTGCTGGCATGTAACTACCATGGCTATTGTTCCGTCAGGGAGTTCAAAACCTTTAAAGCAATCAACTTTGCACTCATCTATAAAGCTACAATTTAGTCGCCCATTTTTAATTACTGGTTTAGTTGCACAGTTCACAACGGGCACTTTTCTTAATTCGCAATGATCGTAGCCACTTGGGCACGTACACTTATTCGGCGCAGTGCATATTTCGCCGTTTTTGCATGAGCTAAGACAATGAGCTATACAGGAAAAAATGAAATGAATTTACATATTTTTTTTATATTTATAGCTATTCCAATCAAATCTTACGTACACACGTTGGAAGAAAAATTGTGATTCGATAGATGATAATGCAAATACTGATTTTAAATAACACTTACGTTGACAAGCCAATGGTATCGTTTGATTTTTATGAATCGGTGTAAATTGACCGTTTTCACATTTTAACTCCATCGACATAGAATTATCAGCAAATTTGTAGCCCTGATGACAGGTTATTGTGCAATTGGTGGAAGTACAGCTCCGATTCGAATGAAGAACATCTGGTACGGTGTTGCAATGAAGTTGATTGCAACTTGAACCGCTAAAATTCTTTGGACATATACAAATATCTGGTGCAACACATCGTCCGTTATTTTTACAGCTTGGCACACAAATGGCTATATTCATTAAACGTTTTACATAAAAATTCAATCATTATAAATGTCAAGTGAATCTTAAACAATTACGATGTCATTCGTGGCAAAAATAGTTGAATTATCTTACGTTCACACTCGAAATGTGCAATATTTCCAAGGCCTTTCAAAAACCAAATGCCAGCATCACAAATCAATTCAACCTTGGACAGCCCGTTTGGAAATTGGTAATTGCTGTTGCATTTTGTATAACAACTACTCGAATCTGGGCAAGATGACCATGCAAACTGTTTTAGTGGAAGTCCACCGCATTGAGCAACTTGGGCTTTGGAAGAATGTGTAGTTGATTAAAATTTGGAAAGAAATTTTGATTTTGATTTATCAAGTATTAAATTGAAAAATTGGCATTACCATTTTGCTTTGCACTGCTGCAACCAACGTACATGCACAACATAAGCGCAATGAATTTTGAACGCATACTTTTTTCACTAAGATAAAACAACTTGACCTATTCAGTAACACAAGTGCTGTTAAACTGTGCTTTCACATACTGAGTTTCGGTTTTTATAGCTGAAAATGCAGGAAAAAAAGAATCAGTAAAAATTCGATGAAATGCACAAAAACACTGCAATGTGTGACGGGTGTTTTAAAATGATAAGCGAGTAATGAACTTCTTCTTAGTAAATGATTATTATGTTATCAAGAAATTGTACGAAAAATTAAACAACAGGAACAGAATGATGTCATTTTTTTGTGTGAACTGAGGATATGTGTCCGTTGATTTCCCCGAATATTTTTGCCAAGTGCAAATTGAGGACATGACCTTCTGCTATTTTTATGGCGGGGAAATACAGTACAATAGTTGATAAGAACATCTTAATGGAATGAATGTATTATCGAGATGCGTAGTGATACAAATGATGCAATACGCCAGAAATGAAACTTTTTCTTGAATATAGTTACTGGACTTATTTAAATTTATGTCGAGGATAATAATCTTTCTTTGAATGCAACGACTGAAATATTTTGCATGGATTATTCAATGAATCATATTCATAGAAAAAAAGGAAAGTCCATGGTGTCGTTCTTCTAAGAATTTAGATCTTTCGTCTAATAATGATACTCATTTCTAAGAAGTTAAAAACAAAGATATTCATGTTAGTTTTCACAAACTATTTTTTTGCCACGAATCAATTTATTAATTTTTACACATACAATAATAATATGTTTTAGAACAATTTTCATATTTTATTGTATCATTAATGAGCTATTGTTCATACACAAATGAATTTGTACTGTCGCTATACACAGTTGTTAAATTTAATTTGAATACATCGATTTGAGCTTAATGCTGTACTGCACACTAGCCAATTGGGTTCAACGTTGTTTTTTTTTCACATGATCAATGCAATGATGGATATCGCTGATTACAGTTAGAACAAGAACACTCTCTTGGAATGTACACAGAAGAAATGAACTTTTTGCCGCTTTCACACAACATGGGAACCCTTAATTTCTCATATTTTATCATAGAACAGCATTTTTCTTCATGAAATTGTCTATTTGCCAAACCGGTGTTTGAATTTACTGGTCCACATGTGCCACGACATTCAGTATATCCTTGAATTGGTTCCGTGTTGACACATTTTCCGTACTTTGATCCTGTTAGTTGTACTATGCCAACAGTTTGTGTTGCGTTCAGCGACACTGGCATACATGATTCTGGAATAATGCAAAATAGAAGGAGAAAAAAATCGTAAAAATTGATCGAAGAAGTAAAAGAAAATGTCAAAAGTCTCACCTTGAGTTTGTGCAGTGTTGCTGTTCGTACTGTTGGGTTCATATACACATTTCCACCCGAGTTCCGTCCAAGCACTGAAGTATTGAGAGAGAAATATTATTTATTCATCTTGAAATCAATTGGTCAAACATTGAATGAGTTGAATCGAAAATTGCTATAACTTACCATGTTTGATTGGCTCCAATTTGATCATGTCTGGGTTCTTGGTCGAATGAATGGCACATATCGATTGAGATGCATTTGTTGTTTCTATCAAGAGCCTGTCCCTCCGGACAACGACATCCATAGACACAATCTCTGGTGCAATTTTTGGGAGATAGTTGTAAATCGTCACAGCTGTGATAGCATGACTTGGAGCATTCTTCGTAGATTTGACCCGTTGGACATTTGATTGCTAGAATAAATACAAATACATGAAATTTAGAAATTAATCTAAAAAGATGTTCTGAAGTTATTTTTGATCTCTTTTTCAAAAGAAAAGTAAATTAACACCTACCGCACTCTTGTATCGATTGTCTCCAATATTTGACAACGTTTCCACGTCGACTGCATTCGTTTGCATAAACGGTGAAAATATCACACATGCATGAATCAATGCCACGTTCACATGCACACATGTCAAACATGCAATTGTCGTAATGTGTTTGTGGATTGACTGTTCCATGACAGGCCTTGAACGGGTCATCCTTCAATTTTGAACAAAGTCGCTCTGCTCGTTCCATAGCTTCCACGTTTGCATCGCACGGGTTTGGAATGTTAACAAATTCATCAATGCTATTGTAACTGTCACCTATGCATGACTTTTGAGCAATTGTAGCTAACCAAGCTTTCATATCGACTTCAGTGGATCTTTTGCGTCTCTTATTCTTGTTTACTTCACAAAGGCCATTAATTTTGCCTTTGTACAACGAAATCGTATCAATATCAACATTAATGCGACCATCCCAAAATATTCGCCAGCCTTCTTTGGAAACAACCAACACTTTGGTCGAGCTTGGAAGCGAAATGAGCATATAATCCGATAAAACTTGCATTGGGAAAATTTCAACTGGTTGACCATTGACTTCAACTTTTAAATTTTGCTTCAGAACTACGGTAGCATTTCTATTGCCATGATTTACTTTAATTGTTATTGATTTGGTGCATGAATACGGTCCACCACCTAATTTTGAAGACGGAAAAATCAATTAGATATGGAATGAATCAACTAGTTGACCAAATTAACGAAGACATGTTACTTACATGGAACAAATTGCGCTTCGATCACCGTATTACTAGTGTTTACGAGACGAAACGAGCCTTTTCTCTGTATATCGTAAGTAATGTCATCAAAAGACCGGATGTGTGGATCACCAGTCACTGAACATCTCATTCGTGTGAATGGCTCAGATTTGCACCGCATCGTTGCTCTTTCACATTTGCACGTGGTCGCGACTGATAATGCATCGTCTGCAATTTGAAAATGTCATTCTTTTCTGCTCTCGATATATTATTATTAATCTCTTTTATTCTTACCTGTGCTGACAGTCTCACTTTCAGGTTGGAAAATGGCACCGTTTGATCGACATGGACAGTTATCTGGTTGAATGCATTTTCCTTCGTGTTTGACCATTCCATTTGGACAGAAGCAGCCGGGGACACAAACGCTTTTTTCTTCTGCATTGTCACATGTTTGTTCAACGTTCGGACCGCATTTGTTGTAAACAAATCCTGCGTTACATTTCACTAAAAACGAAGATGAATCGAAACTTTAGTAACATTGTGGAAGAACAAAGGAAGTGGTGAAATTTTTGAAATCTCACACAATTCAAACAAAAACTCACATTGACAGTCAGGAGCGGAAATTTGCTTCAGAGAAGCTGATTCCCACTTGCCATTCTTACAATCCATCTGCATAACGTCCGAGCCATCTGGAAAAACGTAGCCTTGGTTGCACGTAATTTTACAGTTGAATTGGTCACAGCTACTGTGGGCGTCTTGTAGAGCTGGCTGCGGTACACATACTTTACGTCCACACTGAGGACCATCGAAACCATTTGGGCATGAGCAAGTGTTGGGTTTGGTGCAGACTCCACCATTCTGGCATGGTTGGCTACAAACGGCTGTGGAAGAATTTCCAAATAAATTATCGTTCGAGCACAGTGGATTTGAATCG